TGAAAAGAATTTCATCTTGTAGACTTTCATCAAAACTCAAAGCGGATATAATATTTGAAAATTTAGTAAATTGCCATGGAAATGTCTTGTACTTACAATGTGCTGTTTATGTCCCAGCGATAAGATCCAGTTTAGAATTCTCCTTGTTAAATACTTTGAGCATTATTCCCATCCAAGCGCTTGTCAGTAACTCCATCCATAGTTCAACATTAATTTGAAAAAAAAACTAAGAAAAAAAATGTGAATGAAAGATATGGGTGTTCCTCTTTAAACCTCTGTTTTCCACAGCAGTGAAGCACAATAAAGAAAGCAAAAATTGATGAAATCCAAGTCTCCAAATATTTGATTCAATAAAAAATATTTAGGATTACATGGTTACCATTTTTAACACTAAATTTTTGTTGGAATTTGGTTTTAAGGATTGAAATTTTGGTTAGGTATACAACTTAAAAAGTGACTTTGTTTCAACTTTGGCCAAATATTCGGACCTGATCCGATAGTCAAATTATGATTATAAATAGACTAAATTGTTCTACTCGTCGAGCAAATCGTCGTGATATATTTGAAATCTCAAAACCAATTTCGGATGAATGAGAAATTGTGGTCCAAATTTTGAAGGAAAAATCGAAATTCTGCATGTGAAACTATCGCTTGAGCGACATGCCAGTGCCAGGTGCGTGACAATTCACTGCATTGCGCTGCTCGAGAGACACATGGGCGGTAGGCGAGCGGTGGAACGAGTTGCGTCCCTTCATGAAAAAGTCGAATTTTGGGGCATGTCTCTCCAACCACACACCTTCACCTTCTATATATAGGATCTCTAGGACGTTCATTATTAATTTCATTCCATATTTTACACTTTGTTTTGCTTTAAAACCCCTTTGTAGAAGTGATTCTTTTTTGCATCAAAATCATGGTTATGGTAGAGAGGAAACTCCGTTCGAATTCGTTGGTCTAAACCATTTGAAGTGCTCATATGGATAGACCTGATCGTTGTATTTTGGGAGATGATTGCTGAAAAATCATTAGCACCGATGATGGGCAAATTCATCTTAAGGACAAAGTGTCAAACACTTACCTCGATCAATCCAATCACTTGCATTTCTTATTCTATTTTCTAATTTCTTTGAATTTGAGATTTGATTTAAAAAAAAAAAAAAAAACTAACTATTCTTTTGATTGTAGGATTTTTTTTTTTTTTTGTTGAAGAATAGAAATGATTAAATCCGCCGTCATGTATTCGGCTTCAGTAATTATCATTCCATCTTCTCAAATCCTATTTTAGTAAGTCAAAACTGTGTTCTATTCTACACACGTAAAAGATACGTTTTGAGAATAAAATTCATGCACGTTATCAGTATAATATCCTCCAACAATTTTACAACATGCAACTTAATGCAATTATTTCATGGTAGATTGCAGTCAGCTTCAGTTTTGCAAGCTATTTAACGGATGGGGAAGATAAAACTGTAATTCATTTTCCACGTACAGTTGAGCTTAAGCAGTTTTAATTATTTTCAGTAAGACTGCTAACAGAAATCAATTTCTCTAATCATCGCTCAATCCACAAGCTCACAGCAAAACAGAGGAGAATAAAATGAATACTCGTAATACTTCACTTTCAATTCTAAAGGAAGACAGTAAATTGGTCACCATATTAAGAAGTGTATTTTATACACTTATTTAGGCGGTTAAATTTGAGTATTTGTTGATGAATTGTATGAAATATGGCTTAATCCTATATAAATATTGTTTGTAGGTAACAATCGATGAAAGCGGTCAAATACAAAGTATCGGGGACTAAAATGTAATAATTAAAACGTTGGGTCGGATTACACAACGATGACTTAAGAATGCCAAGAGTCGATCGGAATTGAAGAGAAGTCAACGGGGATGAGAAATTGTGAAAAGTGATCAAAATATACACATGAGAATGCAAATTTGTCCCAAAAATTTGTACCATGCGTATGCATGGGTCTGCAAGCCTTGCATACGCAAGGTTACAAAAAGCCTTGTCTGAGGCTAAATCACGTGTATTGCGGGTACACTCACTTTGAACAATGCCTACGCATGGTTCAATTTCGTGAAAAAAAAAATTTGTTTTCTTATTTTGCTTTGGAAACTTTTGATATAAAATCTTTTGACACTTTACATATATGGGGGTCATCCAGAGCGTGGAGATAGGTATCGATCATTATATTGAGAGCGAAAAAAGCGATTTTACATTAAAGAATCAAGAAATTCATCATTTGGGTTGAAGATTTAAGTGAAGAATTGGAGTTTCAAGTTCTTCA